TTAAGGAAGAAATTCTCAATATTTTGAGATCTTTTCATTCTTCCTGTTCTTTTATCTCTACTCGTTGGCCCTGAAGTAATAAAGCAACAACTTATGTCACAAACAACAACTTTCCTGATGACCTTGACTAGAAGTCAGGGATGTCAACTTCTGGCCCTCATGGACCCTATCCTGCACGTTTTACATGTTACCTATACCAACAGAGCCAATTCAAATCAAATAATCCCCAAATGATGCTTTAAATCAGCTGTTGAAGTATGGAAACATCTGGAACCAGGAGGACCAGAACTGCACATCCCTGCACTGAACATGGCACAGGGGTGATTTACTCTATTCATAACATGGAGCTGGCAGATAGAAATTAGCTGGACTGCACAGTGTAGTGTAAGTGCTGCCTCATGGTAAACTTTGGTATTGATGTATAAAGAACAACACTGGCTGATGATGAAGTACAGTCAGCTGGCATGGTGACACTGCCAGTATTAACCTGCAACCAAACCTGCAGCTCCATACAGCAATGTTACAACTTAGATTATATCTCATAACTCATAACTCTTGTGCTAGCTCCCCCAGCTGCCTACTGTCTGAAATATGCGACGCTTGCAATAATTCTTTAAGTGTTATTTTTTCTTTGGTTTACTAAACTCAACAAACTTAATATTACTTACCGGGACATTTATTCTCTCCTCATTTTCTTTCACCAAAAAATAGTTTCCTGCGGTGCCTCTTTGGTGCATGGCTCTCCTACCTTTGGTAACCTGATGCTCATAGTGCAGAAGCCGATGCTGCATTCACTTACACTCGGATCTCTGAGCCTCACTGTGAAAACATAATCGTACATTTGATATTTAATTGAATTTCATTGTTTTAGCTTCGGGGTGGCCAGTCTGGTTGGGGAGGTGGCCTGTGCCCCCCCAGGCCACCCTGCTGGACACGCCACTGCTGAGTAGCGAGTTAACAATGAAGTTTATTTACAATCTCTTCACCGAGTGTATTTACAGGCTGTGCGGGGATAGTGCTATATACAAGACGTGACAGCAGACCTCCAGGAATCTGGGAAAGAGGAATCACACACGCTTCTCTCCAACCTCTCTCTCCACTTTGTGACGCTCCTTCCACACACCGCTCGTGGTCTGAGGAATCTCGATACAAACAAATGCACGTTAATATTCTGCACACGAGCACGAGAAACTTTGGCTTGAACTTGTTACTGACGGGAGTTTAACAACGACCCAGCGCCAAACAGCAGACCTCTCCCCTCTTCAGTACCGGCTGGTCCTGATGAGGTCCAGGTGTTTCCAGTACAGGGAGGCGTGGGCCGAGGGCGTGAACCCGCCATGATGTCCGCCCCGGCAGAGAAAGAGAGCGAACATAATGATCAGCTCCTCGCTGATCCCGCAGGTCGTGACAGAGACGTGTTTCAGATCGTTTCATGACACCTTTGCTCATCTCTTCACTTTGTCAACTCAGCAGATGGCCCCGCCCCTCCCTGAGCCGGTTCTGCCGGAGGTTTCTTCAAAAGGTTTTTCCTTCCCGCTGTCGCCAAAGTGCTGCTCATAGGGGGTCATATGATTGTTGGGTTTCTCTGTATGCACTACTACCTTACAATTTAAAGCACCTTGAGGCGACTGCTGTTGTTGCTCCTCAGACTGCAGCTGCAGAACATCTGCACAAAAGCTGCTCATTAACACATCACGACAGATCCAGTTATTAAGCATGTGATGAAGCAGAGTCTGCATGAAGAGGAAGAATGTCAAAGTGTCAGGAGTCCATGAACGAGCCTCGTGGTTGATCTGCGTCAGACCTGACTTCCTGTGTCGTTGCTCCTCAGGAGAACTGCAGCATTCAGAAACAGAGCGTGTGCGAGAAGTTCAACCACATGTTCTCCATCCTGGAGGAAAGACAGAAGGTCAGAGTTCAGCCCTCGTCCTCAGTGATGTCGAGACTTTAAATTATAAATGTGTGCCGTGCACGTAGGTTTCCTGTTTTATTTTGGTAGTCCCGTGTTGCTTGTGCTTTGTCTTCAGTCTGGCTTCCTCCCCTGTGGCTGCTGTGTGTCCCTGGTTACCCTCAGTGTGTCTGCATGACGAGTGAGCTTCCTGTTTGGACTTTGCACCAATAAAAGTACGTTTTTGTTTTTGAACGACCCAATCAGACGACTGCAACCTCACAAAGTCCTTCTTTTATTTGGTCGCCTCCATCACTGCTTCTGCTTCAGTTCCCTGACGTCACTCTGTAAACGCTGTGAGCAGGAACTGATTTTACAGTCCCAGCAGAAAGAAGCAGCTGTCACCACGCAGAGACCCGCCTGCTGCTCTGTCGTGTCCTCGTCCGAGGGACGTAATCAGGATAACGTCCTTCGGATGAGGACACGTGTCCTCAAACACGTTGGAGCGTCTGCGGTGAACGTTCCTGCGTCTGCTGTCTGTGACAGGAAGCTCTGTATCACGTCTTGTTTGAACACGATGGTCACGCCTCATAGCGTTTGTGTTTACTGTGATCGAAGGCGATGACGCAGCGAATCAGCTCTGAGCAAGAGGAGAAGACGGGCCACGCGCGGGCGCTGGCGCGTTGCCATGATGACAGCATGGCAGCCAACAGCAGGCTGGCGGAGAGCGCCGCGAGCAGCATGGAAGAGCCCGACATGGCCGCCTTTGTTCAGGTGAGCGACTCCCGTTTCCTGTGTGCGGCGGTGACGAGTCTGACTCGGCTCATTTGTCTCCTCCTCCTCTTTCAGAGTTCAGCAGAGATGATCACCAAGTGAGTGACGGGAAATGTTCTTCACGCCTTCCTTCACTTCGTCAGCATTAACCAACCCTTCTTTTGCTTCCTATACCTCCTCGCCGTCCTCAGGGTGAAGGCGGCGAGTGCCTCGGGTCCGTCCGAGACGCTGAGACCAGGTTACGAGCGCCTGAGTCGTTACAGGTTTAACTTCAGCGAGCAGGAGAGGGCGCTGAAGAGCATCGACTTCATCAAAGGTTCGACTCGGCTCATTTCCACCTCCCCAACCCGACACAGCTCTGCATGACACGAAGGCTACAGAAGCCATCTTTCCTGTTTAGCTCCTCCCACTTTAAAGAGCCTTTCCTCTGATTGGTTTAAATGCTGTGGGTGTGGCTTCTGTTTGGAGCACATTACTGCACAAAGAGCTGGTTACGGGTTGTTGTTGGAGTAACCTCACAGCAGCCGTGTTACCGGTCAGAGGAACCGCAGTGTGCGGCGCCATGTTGGCACCAACGCTCTGAGGATGCAGGAGGTCAGCTGTCATCACCTGCCCAGGTGCTTCCCTACGATCAGCGTAACACGGGTGTCTTCAGCTGCAGCGGGTTACCAAACTAATCAGGTTGTAGCGTTTTATCTCCACAATACAGACTCGTGCTTTAATTTAACGTCGAGGGCGAGGGGCGGCGCCTTCACGTGTAGGTGCAGCAGGCGCCAAGCTTGGTCCTGGAGGTCCTGACAGGAGGCAGAATAACTCAGAGTGAAGCTGCTGCAGAGCATCAGGAGCCGTCATAATGATGACGAGTATGAAGGACGAACTCGTGTGAGCAGTGTTCATTGGCTCTCAGCCGTTAGACGTGGGCGTGCACGTTAAAGGTCACTTCTATAAAACCCCGCCCATTTTTAAGTCTTTGTTCGTTTCTGTTCATGCTCAGATTTTCTGAAATCTTCTAAAATACAGAAAATGGAGCGATGAGGAGAGAAAAGTCGTGGACTAGAAGAATGAAACAGGAAGTACATGATGAATAAATAAACATGTTTACATCACCGTTTTATTCGTGTTGCATTTACATCAGTTCTTCTCATTATTTCCTTTGTGATGTTGGCTCCTCCTCCTCCCTCAGCATCATGGTTTTTGTGATATCTCTCCAGCCGTGAAGGATGTTCCTGAAGAACCAGAGCTGGACCCAGAGCCAAAAGAACCCAAAGATTCTTTGATCCAGAACACAGAACCAAACGAGAACCAGCAGGCGGCAGAGGAGGCTTCAGAGCAGGAGACTCCTGAGCTGGACTCGGGTCATGTCACGGAGGGAGAGGAGGAAGCCGCCGCCGATCTAGCTAAACAGGGCGGCGAGCGGCAGGAGGGAATGAGCACACAGCAGGTAGAGTATCACACCTCCTTTAACCACGCTCACCTTTACACTTGATTGTAAACTAATTTCTCTAACATATAATCTGATGAAAGAGTCCATCAGTAGCCTCAGAGCTGAGGGTCGGTGTGAGACGCCATCATGAAGGTTGTCCAAATATGGTCACTTCCTGAAACAAAAACCAACATGGTGGCAATTGAAACGTTACCAATGAGGCTTCAAAATGCTACAAACCGTGAACAGCTGGACCTCACTGACCAATGGGCTTGAGTCTGTGTCCATCTTTTATATACAGGGTTTGCAGGAAATGCATGTTTTACTAAGAGAACATTTGCAGGTCTCCAAA